TAGAGGGTCCAGAGAGCCATGGAACTGGGGAATTGAAGAAATATGGCACTGAACCCCTGGCCCGGACTCTGGGCTTCCAATTCTTAGCAATTTGGATGCAATCAGGTCTGAAAGTGGCTCAATTTTAGCCGTTTTGCAAAGGGACGCATTTTCAGAATGGCTATTTTTTGCGGGCAGTGAAATTTCCTTCATTTTACGGGTGGTCTGCTTTGGGTGATACTCGAAAATTCATTGGTCAACCCTCTAAAAATGGAAAGGAAAATATAATGAAAGAGGACATGTCCAACATCGTTTCAGGTTTGATGGCTTATACTGGCGCCACTTAACAAAGATACTGACAAATGGGAAAAGCCGCCAACAATAGGACTGGATAGAGCACTATTTTGTTTCCCGTGTTTCGGAGAATAGCCGGAAACTATTGTCTTAGGAATTCGAGCAAAGCATAGCTCCTTGCGTAATGGCACTTTGGGATATGTATGAAATAGGGCAGAAAGGAGTATTGTAATCAGTTCTAGAATACACTCTACCCGAATATGAATATCAAATATGGAAAATGTGCCCTTTAAGATGACACCACGAATGCCAGATTTAGACAATTCTTAGACCTTGTTTGTTCGAATATATGCACCATCCAGTGTGCGGGAACAGGACCGGTATAGTGCAAACAAAATCAGAATTACGCAAAAATAGAAAGCAATTGGACAAGAACTCGAACATTCTTTTCCAGATACTTTATTAACTACAACAAATATGGATAAAAATCACAGTAATTTATCTTGTGTCACTGATCATCTATCTTTTGGCGATATATTTCAAATCACTGCTTATCTTGTTCAATTTTGGATGAATTAATATAGTGTAGTGAGGGCGTTTTTAGCAATGAGGAAGAAAAAATTGAATTGATAACACTCGGCGAGCTCGCGCTCCTGGCAGAAATTTACCCACAATGTTCTGCGCGTCGTTAGCTGTTACCTGTGTGACGTATTTCCTTTACTAAGATCTGTGCAAGGCCACTAGCCATTCCCAGTGGGCGCTGAGCGACGAGCGAATATTGCGGTATCCCGGAGGTGGCAGGTTCACATCCCGATTGTCAATTTCTTTATCTTTGTAATTGAAGACTGTGAAAAGGTGGTAGTTTTCCGATTCTTAGACAGTACTTTCAAAAACGTTTGCAAGAGGGCGCTACTTTGATGTTGTCATACAAGGCACTCAGACTTTCAAACGAGCACAAGAACAATACAAACATCAATCCTTCAACTACCAACGTTTAACGCTGATGCAACGAAATATAGCTCAAGCTAGCCGCCATGCATATCGCATAAACGCCACTTGGCCGCATGACCTGGGCTGCAAGCTCCGCCGAGTTCATTTTTGGCAACAGCGCCCTCTTTCTTTTAATTCAAAACAATTGATGACAAGAACTATTAGTACAGGCAGATAACTCACTTCACAGCTATTTTCCCCTTGGCGAACGTGGGGAAAGGTGAAGAAAGGGGGCCCTGCAAAACTATTTTTTTTTAAATGAGGAAAGTGACGTGTGGGCAAATGTCCTACGTGCAAAGATACGAAAGTTGTTTGATTTTCGAAGTAATCGAGTTTGTATTTTCACATTAGTGCATTAAAATTCAGCGATACAGCTAACTCTTTATCAAGCCGACAGAATAACCAGCTGAATAATTATTCTTATTACTTTGTTTTCACCGAACCACATAGAGGAATTACATGCCAAAATAGCTTAAAATGCATAAAATACTGACAGTATTATGCGGTTGCTCGAGAGACGGGGCCAAAGTTCAATCCTAATTTCCCCACCATACCCATG